TACTTGTATCTTCAGAGAATGTGTATTTATAAAACTTTTTGTTTGATCAATTTTTATTTTATAAATATCGTGTATGTAAACATATAGGCATTTTATTGGGTATATGACCCTAAATGTAATTATTGATAAAGCTTGGCAATTGCATTAAAATCTTTTATATCACCACTAATATTTATTGCTGTATTAGAGTATATTAGTTTTTTCTCTTTAAATTCTGCTTAATTCCACCTTCTATTTGGAAGCTGTGTTACTAGGTAGATATATTACACTTGTTTCTTTGTTTCTCTCACTGCCTGGGGGGCCAGCCTCCAGTTGCAAGGCCTCAAAGGGAAATTTGCTGAGTCCAGCATACTAGACTTTTTGTTTTCTATTTAAGAAATTTTAAAAATTCATTTTATATACCAACCACAGATCCCCCTCTCATCCCTCCTCTCACTCCCCACACCCTGACCCACCTCTATCCCCTCCTCTAAAAGGGTAAGGCCTCCCATGGAAGTCAGCAAAGCTTGGTACATTCAGTAGAGGCAGGTCCAAGCCTTCCCCCCTGCATCTAGGCTGAGCAAGACATCCCACCATCAGGAAATGGGCTCCAGAAAGCCAGCTCATGCACCAAGGATAGATCCTGATCCCACTGCCAAGGGCCCCTCAAACAGACCAAGCTACACAACTGTCTCCCATGTGTAGAGGGCCTAGTCTGGTCCCATGCAGGTTCCACAAAAATGTATTAGACTTTTATATCTGGAGGGGTTAAGGAAAAAGACACTCATATATTCTCCCTTGATGGTTTCCTTCTTTATTCTATTTTCTTCTATGATCTTTCTACTGTATACTTTTTTCCCTATAGCTTATCCACCCCAATAAAATTTTTCAAGCAACATAGGAATTACTATGTGATTACATTCTATTTTCAAGTGAATGATTATAATGAATACAGGTAAAATCATGTTTTCCATCTCCCTTATATGATTAAACATGTTCTGTGTTACAGGTGAAAAACCAATTATCTCAAGAACCCACATACATTTATACTCAAGCAACTTGTTATAGATTAATCATATAGGCAAGCAAGATATTCTTCTCAGTCAGGTCTTTTACTGGCAGGCTGAATTTTGCAGTTATAAAGAAAGGGCCAATTGCTTTATTACTTATCTTGAAAGATAATCTTACAAGGAATCACAAACCTAAACTTTTATATATGAAAAAAATCAATCAGCTCTATTTTAAACCTTTAGGGTGCATACCCAGTCATCAATAGTTTCTTATATCGGAAGATTGAGGGCAGGAATGTTTAGCATGAATCTTAAAAGTTCTTATTCATAAAATCAAGCCTGAGGCCAGTTATTGGGGTCTCACTGGAAGATCAGAGAGACAGAACAAGCCATAGCTAACCTCATCTGGCCAACTTCTCAGCTGATCTTGTTTCCTCAAGCTGGAAGCCTCTGTGTCCTCATATCCAAATGGCTCTCAGCTGAACTGTGCTGCTAGAAGCCTGAAAGCTTAAGCAGCCAAATGATTCTAGTTTCTAGTCCTCACACCTTATATGCCTTTCTGCTTTCTACCATCACTCCCTGGAATTAAAGGCTCGCTTTCTGGGATTAAATGTGTGAGTCACCATGCTTGGCTGTATACTTGAACACATGGATTTCTGCCTCTGGAATGCTAGGATTAAAGGCATGTCCTAAATAAATGCCTATCCTAAGTATCTAGTGGCTTTTCTATTCTCTGACCCCAGATAAGTTTATTAAGGTACACAATATTTTGGGGAACACAATACGACCACAGGAATGGACACAAGGAATCATCTCCTTTGGTCATCAACCAATCCTAGCAAGAAAGGCTTGTCAGCTAATAATAATTGGACTGCTTTGTTCTTAATCCCCGACCTTAACGAGTTCCTCATTCAACTATGTGCCTTTCTAAAACTCTAGATTATCTTCTAGAGTTTTTCACCTCAAAGCTATTTGATGAAAACATCTTAGTCTAACTTAGTTATTTTCAAAGCTTTGTTTCAGCTATGCACATCTCCTGACATTGAAATTAAAGGAATTTAAGCTAGCTGGGCTACTGGGTCTCAATTGCTTTTCTAATTATTAACCTAAGCCACAGTCTATAGGGCTCCTCAGTAGAAACTCGTGTTCTAGCTGTGTGGCACTTCCTTGTACTTAATTTTATTCATCAAAACTCTGTATAAACTAACATTATTATTATTATTAGTTAGACAGTACAGCTTAGGAAGGAATCATCTTCATAATAATCTACAGGTAAAAATGCCCAGTAGAACTGGATGTTTCTATGAAATAAACACACTACATTACAGGCAGTGGGGATCTCCCCACACCCATTTACACCATACCAGATACCAGAGATAGATGGCAGCAGCAAACATGTAAAGGCACAGCAGAAGCAAAAGACATTCCAGGGTCTTTGGTCTCGGGGTCTTGCCCATCCGAGATTCACCCATCAGAGAGTTTCCTCCTGGTGGGCTGACACCTTGAACTTCAATTGCAACCTGCTGCTCCTCTGACCTGGCCACCGGCATGTTTCTTTGTGTATGGTGTGCATGTGCCATGCTGTGTGTGTGTGGAAGTCAGAGAACAACAGGTAGGAGTTGGTTCTCTCCAGCCTGTGGGTCCCAGGGATCAGGTTTTCGGGCTTGGCAGCAAGGGCCTCTCCCTGCTGACCCACGTCCACAGTCTTTGTTATTGAGTGTCTTAGTTACTTTTCTATTTCTGTGATAAAACACCATCACCAAGACAATTTACAGAAGAAAGAGTTTATTCTGGCCTTACAGTTGCTCAGTCCATGAGGCTGAACAGCAGCTGAGAGTTCACATCTTGAACCACAAACAAGCATCTAACTTGAAATGGCATGAGTCTTTTGAAACCTCAAAACCCCACTCCCAGTGACATACTGTCTTCAACAGGAACACACCTTCTAATGCTCCCCAAACAGCCACTACTGGGGACCAAGTATTCCAATGCCTGAGACTTGTGAGGTTATGAGGAACACCTCATTGAAAACATCACATTAGGTATATAAAAGCTCCAAATTATTATTTTAAATTAATTTTCTTTCCCTATTTAGTACCACGTCTTGGTAGCTGTACAAACTTTTTGGCTTTGTTTTTTGATACAAGTTTATCTATATCATTTTATTGGTATTTGCTTGATATAATTTTTCTTTTCAGTCTTTTGACAATTTTATGTCTTAGCTTTGTCTATTAATATAAAACATGGTTGAGTCTTGTAACTGAGGAATTTGAGTCATTTAATTTTAGGTTGGTTACAGAAAAATTTGCAATTTAGGTGTTATAAAACCCACAAATGTTCTCCTAAACTCTGCTCCAACTACCATCTTGTAAATTTTGATCTGTTTCGCCTTTCATTCTGTTCCAAATAGTTAACAGAGAACTTACATAGAGAATATATAAAGGATTCTCACAAGCCATTGGTAATAGAATGACAGAGTGAAAACATGGGGAAAAGATTTGAATACCAGATATAAGAATGGCTAAATAGCACTTGAAAGGTGCTTGTTGGAAAAATGCAAATGAAAGCCATAATAATGTCATTTCACACCCACTAAGATGGCCACGGAAAAAACAGGTTATAGCGAGAGCTGGCAAGGATGTGAAGAAATTGGAACCCTCATGTGTAATACCCTCCTATGATGTGAAATGGTCCAGTCGCTTTGGAAAATGGCAACTTCTCTCTCTTTCTCTCTTCCTCTCTCTGTGAGTGTGTGTGTGTGTGAGAGAGAGAGAGACAGAGAATGTGTGTATGTGTGTGTGTGTGCATGTATTAAATGGATAAATGATATTTGAAATGCTAATATAGAGAAATAATATTCAGCAATAAAAAGAATGAACTTCAAAACATATTTCTTTTAAATAAAGCCCTGCCCCCCAAAAAGCTATGTAGCCCAGGATTCCATTGATATGAAATGCTCACAAATGCAGCTATATAGACAGAAAATCGATTCATGGTTTCCTAAGGTTTAGAGTAGGAATTCATTGCTAATAAACACAAAAGATATATTTTAAAAGTTTTATTTTTACATTTGTTTATTTAGACTGTAAGAGTCTGAGTTGATATGAATTCTAAGATTATAGGCTCATAAGGGATGTTTTAGTGTGGAGAAAATGTTGCAAAACTGAATTGTAAGAGGGCAATTAGCCAGCATCTGAATTCACAAGACTAGGAAAAAAATGAATTTATTAACTGTGCTGCAAGTACTCAACAGACAATCGCAGCATCAACAGAAAGATCACCCACATGAAACAGTGGTGCATGGGAGGGGGATACGTTGAAGCTGTCGTCTGTGGTTAGGGTGACCCACAGCAATCTCCACCATGCAAATGAGGGGCATCCTGATTGGTTGATATTTTATTCCCAGGGGCCTCTGGGTTCACATGGTGCAGCCTCTGGTCAGGGTTGTACTTGGTTTAGATTGGTTGCACTTGGTTACATCATTCTGTAGCCAGAAAGTGCTCTGTTTCCTTTTTGTGGCATTTTCTAGACCAGGCTTGTATTGTGGCATTTCCCGGATGGTGACCTCTTTGTTTTCTGGTCTGTCAGTTTGCCTCTCTCCACACTATGGTAAAGGTTTTACAACTGTAAATTTACTAAAATCATTCTATTTATACTTCAAATGGCTATGTTTCAAGTTATACAAATTATACCTGTACAAATCTACGGAAACATCCCATCCTCCCACACCAGTCAACTTGAACAGTTCTGAGTTTATTGAGAGTATTTTCTACATTCTGTGCCTAGGTGACCAGTATCACATCTGACACAATGGACACCAAAGATTAAATGTGCTTCACTACCCTCATGACGCACACGATGTGTTCATTGTCAGGACTGGTTCTGAAAGGAAAGGTCCAAGTCCAGGGCCTTCCTGGCTGCCTTCCAGGGAGAGAGGCTGGAATGAGCTTTGTCCTGGGGCGATGGTCCCTGTCACTGATTAACCAGCCTTGTTGGAAGGCTGCACCACCAGCACTCCCCACACAAAGACACCTGGCCGAGTCCTGGGCGGCCAAAAAAATGTCGACCCGCTATCACCAAGCAGCGAGTGACAGCTACCTGGAACTTCTGAAGGAGGCCACCAAGCGCGATCTGAATCTCTCGGATGACGATGGCATGACACCCACTCTCTTGGCAGCCTACCACGGCAACCTGGAGGCTCTGGAGATAATCTGCAGCAGAGGGTGAGTGATTTCTGTCAGGGCAGCCTGGGGTCCTCCCAAGTAGCAGCAAGAGGCGGGGAAGTCCGAGGACACGTTTTGCCTCCTTCTAGGCTCCCTAAGTAGTTGGCTTTTAGGGAAAGACAAGACTAACCTAGGCATGGTTTCTTTCCCTATAAGAACAGCCACCTGGGGGTTACTCAGCCAGGGGTTGGGTGGGTATTGTAATTGTATGCATTGAAAATCATTTCCATGGATTTAAATGTTGACTCTTTAAAAAGAGGTCACCATTCTACTCAGTTCAGTCATCCTCCTTGGTTAGGACCTGTTTTCATTTGACTTTTTCAATTGTGTCATTAAAATCTACCTTTTATGAGGCCTCAGTTTTGTGTAAGTCCCTAATTTTTGAATGAAATTTCTGGCTTTACAAGCTGTAAGAGGGATCTCCAGTCCATCTTTACTTTAAATTTTATTTGTGGGCAACACACACACACACACACACACACACACACACACACACACACACACACACACAC